TGGGGGAGCATCGGAGCGGCAAAACAGCTCGAGCTCGTGCTGGCGTGAGGAGGGGAGGGAGGCGCGAGAGGAGAGGGGGCGCTGGGGGCCGGGAGAGAGAGGGTGCGCTGGGGTTTAAGTACAATATTTTTTGTTTGCCGAGTGTCCCAGATCTGGGCACTCGACAAAGTTTTTTTTTCTTCTCCTTTTTTTTGTCGAGTGTTATAGATCTGAGCACTCGGCAAAGTTTTTTTTTCATTTTTTTTCGTCTCCTTCTTTTATAGAAAAAAAGATTTTATTTATTTGCCGAGTGTTTTTTTAACACTCGGCAAACCCCCTCTTTGCTTTGCCGAGTGTTTTTTTAACACTCGGCAAACCCCATCTTTGCCGAGCGTTTTTAGCGCAGCACTCGGCAAAGAACTTGTTCGTCGAATGCCCGAGGGAATACACTCGGCAAACAAAAAAACACTCGGCAAATTTGAGGATTCCGGTAGTGGTGGGTGGGCCGGGCCTGTGAGCGGGGGGAACCGGCGCGGGGAAGTGCCCGTGGTTGGCTCGGTGATTTGGAATCAGGTACTGATTATTATTCAATACCCAGGTAATATTCTGTAGCCACTTTGAGTTACGATAATTACTATGTTAATTTACGAGATTATAGTAACTCCTAACTAAGTGGTTTACTATAACGTTATGGGTAAATATCCCCATGCGTTATAGTAACTCAACTATCGTAAATATGTATTGACATTATCATAAATTAGTATATAAAATTATCGTAAATGGAGGTGACTACAGAATAACTTATTTTGTAGCTGGTTACTGAATATATATATATATATACACACGCTCACAAGGCCATGCCCTCCGCCGACCGGTCTTCCGGCATCCGTGGAATATATTGCAGGTTGGGTTTTTAAAGCCCCCCACACACACACACACCCCGAAGTTGACCTCAAAAAAGAAATGAGAGATTTGGATAAGTACGTACATACAGCTTCCACATAGGAGTATGCATCACACACTGTATTGCAATTGCAGCACACAATAAAATGCAAGTACATACAGTGGTTGAGAGAGATGGTGACAACCCACGATCCATCATATCGTTAAATAATATAGTATATACTTCCCACTGTAGTACCGTCATACAAAATATATTCAAGTGTGTCTCTGCACTTGGCAAATCACATTCTCACTCTGTATTTTTCTTCAATTCTTTGACTGCATGCGGGGGCGGTGCTTTGCTTTACTGGACCAACCTGATTTTTCTGTATATGACTAGGAGCTAGCTAGTAATAAAACCACTATCCGCTCTGCCTCCTCCGCGCTTTATACCAAGGACATATATAAAGGTCGTTTGGAGTCGTGCCAAGCCAAGCCTATAGCAAAAGCCCTTGCATGAAACATGCACCGCTAAATAAGTGGGATCCAATCCAATCATCTAAGGTTGCTTGTCTCTTCAATTCTGGTCATTATCCATGCATGCGTTACCACTTGCATTGGTCCTTCCCGCTCCACCCGTCAACGTAGACACCGTCACCGTCACCGTCACCGTCACTGTCACAAAGAAAACAAACACAGAAACTTAAGCAGCCATATATGATTATATATTTGACAAGGCTGAATGAAGCATGATAGTCCACACTTGAATAATAAGATAGTTCCATTAAGATCAAGACTTCCAAAGCTACAGATTGTTAAATGGACAACACACCATCACCATTTATACCTCGCAAGTCACAACACCTTCCATGGTGATGGAGCGAGATGGAACATTTCCATGTGATATAGAAAAAAGAAGACCCAATTAAAGCCATTATTCGAATATCCTACTCTGATCCCTCGGTCTTCAAATGGCAAGGGCGAAAAGGACACATGTGTCCCTACTCTTTTTTATTCTTCACGTATATTGATTGGACAAAAGCAAACGATTGCATTGCACCTATATATAAACTTATACTTTGTTATCGCATCGAACATCTATATATAACATACTTTTTTAAGATACTACACCTATTCATAATTAAGCTAGAGTTGTATTTTTGAGACAACATATGGGTGCTCTTTCCTGGAAGGAGTATAATCATTTTTAGCAAAACCTACCTCGTAGAAAAAATAAACACGCATGCTGCCCTTAACAACCGACAAAGGTAATAATAAGCTTTAGCACGCGCTAGCGAAAAGTAAGAGTGCATTTCTATTGGGGTTTTGCATCGATTGGCCTTGTGATCCACGAGAACTAAAAAAGAGAAGAATATTTGTTTCAATTCAACAACAGAAAGGTAGATCCGTACCGGACCTGGATCTGTGAAAAGGATCGGAAAGCTGGCTTGCCTAGTTGCCTTCCCTACTCACCTAACGCACGCCACGTACGTACGACAATGAGATGAGCCTGCCTCTCCTTTTCTTTCGAAAAAAAAAGTTATGGACCACAGAATTTTAAATTTTTTAGGCAACGAGAAGTAGAGAGGAGTATTTTTTAGAATATAAAAAGTATAAATTTACAGGCAATTATTAGAAGGTTTTTTTATATAAAAAAAATACCACGTCTCTTCAAAAATTTAATTATATTCAAGTTTTTTTTCTAAAATAAAAGGCACCTCAATTCTATAGCATTTCTTTCGCAGGGTACAACACGACGCACACACTTCACACTCACACCATACGCACACACGCGCGCGCATAAGTCCATACACATGCAAAAAAAGTGACTGGGAGGTTCTAGCCCTTGTGGGTGGGAAACATGCAAGCGTGCGTATACCCTACCTTTCTTTCGAAAAAAATTTAGAAAACACTTTCCTACACCAGGTTCAAATACTAGTGGGTAGCGCTTCTCAATGGACAGTCCTATCACCCGACCAAAGGACCTTTTACCAATTCTATAGCATTCGGTGTACTTTGTGGGACTTGTTTCTTGTGTTCAAAGGCGATAGGAAGGGAGATGCAACCAAATTTATGATTTACTTCATTTGTCCTATAATATAGTCCATTTTAAAAAATTTAAGACAAATTAAGGGAACACTCAAATGACGCATGTACCCATGAATTATACCCCATTAAAGAGTTTCTCCACAAATTATGGTTTTCTTTTAAAAAAAAACTTTGCCAAATCTAGGCATAGTCATCCCATAGAATGCATTATATTTCAGTATAAATTTTAGAAGTCACAATGCACTATATTTCAGGACGGATGGAGTATGGCTTAAATTATATTCAACCTAGTGCTAACACACACACACACACACACACACACACACACACACACACACACACACACACACACACATATATATATATATATATATATATATATATATATATATATACTATGATGCTATCTAATCGTCTTCGAGCCCCCTAAGGTTCGTTCTTAATTAATAAAAACATCCTTGACAAATTCTTTCATAGTTGTTCGCCTTTCATAAACCTAAGAATTTCACCCTTGACTATGAAATACGAATGCCCCCTAGCTATTCCTATCAATCATTACTCCGACGATTTGGAGGCCGACACAATAGGACCGGAATTCAACGATGTTATCCCTTGCTAATGTATCTAAAGGGGATGGCTTGCTATGAGCACTCTAATTTTTTGAAAGTAACAACGCCGGAGGCACAACCCAGACAATTAAGGCCAAGAGCGCATTGCCGACAGAAGGGTCAAGTAAGTCGGTTCTCACCGTGAGGCGGACCACCCGACCCGACCGAAGGTCCAACTACGAGCTTTTTAACTGCAACAACTTAAATATACGCTATTGGAGATGGAATTACCGCGGCTGTCGGCACCAGAGACTTGCCCCCCAATAGATCCTCATTAAGGGATTTAGATTGTACCCATTCCAATTACTCGACACTAACGCCCCCGATATTATTATTTATTGTCACCGCCTCCTCGTGTAGATAGGATTGGGTAATCGAACCCTAATTCTCGATCACCTGTCACCACCATGGTAGGCACATATCCTACCATCGAAGTTGCTAGGGTAGAAATTAGAATGATGCGCCGCCAGCACAAGAGGCGTGCGACCCGCCAAGTTATCATGAATCATATATCGGATCAGCGAGCAAAGCCCATGTCAGCCTTTTATCTAAAAATGTGTCCTCGCGAAAGTCAGGGTTTATTGCACAACTCTAGAATTACTACGGTTATCCGAGTAGCATGTACCATCAAACAAACTATAATTGATTTAACGAGTCATTCAATGTTTCGCAGTTCGAATTGGTTTATACTTGCATATGTATGGCTTAACCTTTAAGGCAAAGCACATGACTACTAGCAGAATTGGAGGCTCTAACACTCATTCTATAATATATATGCCTACACATTATTTGTAGCTATAAAGTACTTATAATTTTGAATAAAAACTAGTTATAACTATGTTGGTATAAAAAATTGTGTGGTGAGGGACTATTGTTTATTACCATCACAAAGTAAGCACAAAACTCAAGACAAATACTCCCAGATCCCAAATTATAAGTCATCTAAACTTTCTTGGAAAATTAAAACATCTCAAGTTTGATCAAAATTATATAATAAAATGACAACATTTATGATACTAAATAAATATTATTAAATTCTTTATTAATTATATTTTTATAGTATATCTATTTGAAATTTGGTCAAACTTGAAATGCTTTGGCTCTCAAAAAAATCTGAAATGACTTATAATTTAGAACGGAGTGAGTATTAGACATAAAAAAAAATCAAAATCCGGTTAACCTGCGTTAGACGGAGGGAGTATTAGACATCACAAAAAAAAATTCAAATCCTGTTAATCTGTGGTAGGGTAAAAACAGGTAAAATCATTTTACTTGTTTATCCCTGTGTCCCTGTTGTAGTCTTGTCCTCCCACCGACCGCTGTGCCGGCGGCGTCGCCTCGTCGGCCCAGCCCACCACCGCCTATAAAGGCCCCTTCCCCGCTATTTTCTTTCCACCTCACTCTCCGTCTCCTTCCTCCCACCTCGCACTCTCCTCGAACCATCCAACCATCTCCCCCACCCGCGGTCTCCAGACCAATCCGATGGCGGCCCCGGCGGGCGTCGACGCCTTCCTCGCGGAATGCACGCCCTCTGGCGACGCCGCGTACGGCGCCGCCAAGGCCGTGCTCGAGCGCCTCCACGCCCCCGCCACCCGCCCCGCCGCGCGCCGCCTCCTGGGCGCCGTCCGCCGACGCTTCGCCGCCTCCCGCGCCGCGGGGGAGGAGTGCTTCCACACCTTCCACTTCCGCATCCACGACGTCGTCCTCGACCCACACGTACAAGGTCCTGCTGCCTCTACTACATCCACTGCTTCTACATCTCTCATCCGCCGCGCCATGCCACGCCACAGCCACAGATTTGTTGTCGTTTTCGTCAGTTTTGGTTGTATTTGGACTGCACTCCGCGATCTGCTTTTCATCAAATCAAATCTTGCGCCCACGTGATTTTCCATGCACATTTTTACGGCCTGTCACCAGTAATCCGTGGTAAAATCTGCCCATAATGTTCATTTTCATTGTAAAAAAAGAAGAATCTTGTGATACCTCCACCACCCGCTACTTTTGTTGTAACTAGTTTCAGTACCGGACCCATGGTTTTTCATCGGAAAACAATTATCTTTATATACCAAAAAGAGCGGAATTATGCCTACAGTACAGTACCCATAGGATCTTCCGGAACCATGTGGCCGACGCATAATAATAATGCTATCGGACCATGTGGCCGATGCATAATGCTATCGTTTGCTACAGGGATTTATGTGTACACTTCTGTAAAGCTCTGGTTTCCATGCTCGTTATCCAGGGAACAATATGCTTTGATTGTTGAATAATTTAGATTGTCTGTTTGTCTACTGCACATAGAAGGCAACTCTTTCCTTCATCTGTCTTCTAGTCTTTTTTTTTGGGGGTAAATTATTTACTTTATTAAATGGCATCAGCCTTGTCTTCAGAATTTTCCATTATATAAATATGTGCAAGCGGTAGAGTCTTACCGCAAGTGACCGGAAGGTCCCGGGTTCGAGTCGTGGTCTTCTCGCATTGCATAGGCGAGGGTAAGGCTTGCCACTAACACCCTTCCCCAGACCCCGCACAGAGCGGGAGCTCTCTGTACTGGGTACGCCCTTTATAAATATGTGCCCCTCGTGCAAGGCATGTTGTCAGGATGATTCACTCTGACTTACATTGTGAATTAGAAATGTCAGTTGAGTATCTCTTGCCATTCCCACCGGACAAGCTTGCATTTTAACGGCAGCATATCTTTTACTTGTTTTTTTTATGTTACATTGAGAAGGGAGTTGTTGCATTGGAATGATTATAATTTATTAGATTGTAACACTATCTATAGTCCATTACCTGATAGGAGGTATATTGTTGCCATTTGGGTGTATAAACTGTTGTCTCTTGTTGGCTTTGGCCCAGTGACAAAAGCTTCCAGTATATCAGCACACAAATTCTACCAAGGATCTGTTGGTCCCTCGGTTGCCCTACACAGGTAAGCAGTAAGCTTACCAGCACACTCACTCACTATGGCTAGAGGTAGAAGAATATATTAAGAACAACTCTCACACACACAGCACATTCGGCTTGCGTCCATGCCAAGCCGCGAACAGCGTCTTGCCCTTCAGGGCCTTGGTGGGCGCGTGGTTGAGGATGAACACCGCCGTGGTCACCGCCTCTCCCCAGAACTTTGCCGGCATGCTTTTGGCCTTCATCATGGATCGGGCCATGCCGACCACCATCTGGTTCCGCCGCTCCACGCCATTCTGCTATGGCGAGTACGGCGCGGTGTGGTGTCGCACCACACCCTGATCCGCGCAGTACGCAGTGAACTCCACCGAAGTGAATTCACCGCCGCGATCATTCCGCAGCACGCACAACTTCTTGTCGCTCTCCGCCTCCGCGCGCGCCTTGAACTTCTTGACCGCTTCCGCTTTCGCTGCCTCGGTTTTGCTGGTCAGAAGCTGCAGCCACATGTATCGGCTGCAGTCATCCACCAGCAGGATGAAGTACTTGCGCCCGCCGTGCGTCGCCGACGTGATCGGCCCGCAGAGGTCACCATGGACCAGCTCAAGGGCCTCTGCCGTGCAGTACTTCGCCGTCTTCAGGAACGGTAGCCTTCTTTGCTTCCCGACCAGGCAGCTGTCACACAGCTCGCCTGCGTGCTCGATATGAGGCAGCCCAGTTACCATCTTCTCCAGCCGACCAAGAGCGTCGAAGCTGAGATGGCCATACCGGGCATGCCATAGCCACGGCTCCTCCGTGTGCCGTGCAGCCAAGCAGATGGGCTGCTCCACCTTCAAGTCGAGCAGGTACAGCCGGTTCTAGGATCTCTTCACCATGGCAAGAAGCCGCTGCTCCCGGTCCCTGATCCTGAGGACGCCGTACTTGATCAGTACCTCGTTGCCACGCTCATCTAGCTGGCCAATGCTGATGATGCTTGAACGCAACTGCGGGATGTAATATACATCCGTCAGCGCGCGGTGCTCATCGTTCTGTCACCTGAAGATGATGGTGCCGCGCCCTCGGATCGCCAACCTTGAGCCGTCACCGAACTTCACCGTGCCGGTCACGTTGCCGTCGAGCTCCAAGAAGGCTTCCTTGGAGCCGGTCATGTGGTTGCTAGCACCGGAGTTCAGGTACCACCGCTGCTCCTGCTCGCCGCCCACACGTCCGAGTTAGACTTGGGTGCGTGGTTCGTCAAGGTTGACAGCCTTCAGAGCCTTCCCGTGCCCTTCCACCGCCATCACCTTTCCCTTCTCCTTGGCCTCAACGTCGTGCAGTACACAGAATGTCGTCATCAAGAGAGTTGCCTCATCAACATCATCAGCCTGCACCAAATGAGCCTCGGCCTTCTTCTCCTGCTTGCGATTTGGGCACTCCTTTGCACAATGGCATGTCTTTCCGCAGCGTCGACAGGCGTTGGGGTCGACCTTCTTTTTTTGTTCTCCGAAGAATCCTTGCTGCGGCGCTTGCCATCGCCACCGCGGCTGGAGGAGGCTTCCTTGGACTTCTTCTCCTTCATCCGGGCAGCCCACTCATCCTTTGTCAGCAGCAGCTTGCCGCTGTCCGTCGTTGTTGTGGCCTACTCCATGTGCTCGTCCATCGCCCGCAGACGGCCTGTCACATCCTCAATGATGAGGGTGGACAAGTCCAGCATTGTCTCTATGGAGAGAGCAATCTGGATGTACTTCATCGGCACGGAGTGGAGGTACTCAGAGACCGTCTCTTTTTCGTCGATGGTGACACCGTGTCTCCTCAGTTTGCTGATGAGCGACTGTAGGCGGAGGGAGAAATCCTCCACCGACTCACCATCCTTGAACTTGAGGTTGGCGTACTCCTGCTTCTGCAGCTGGGCTGTCGTCTTATTTGCGCTGTCAGAGCCGACGCGCATCGCTGCAATGGCCTCCCACGCCTCCTTAACAGACTTCTTCGCCCCCAACGGCTCCCTGTACTCCGTTGGCACAGCAGCGAGGATGGCCTCCAACGCTGACATGTCGTCTTTTTCGTTGTCGGTGCCCTTGTCAATGACATTCTAGAGCCGTCGGGCTCTGAGCTTGACCTTCATGGTCACCGCCCACTCGCCATAGTTGGTGCGAGTCAACGTTGGCCAACTGGTGCCGCTGACCTCCCGCACCGTGCGCACGACGACCTCCTGTCGTGGCTGGGTAGCCACAGCAATGCCGCTGCTGTCGCCCATCTCCGAACCGTTCGTCATCGCTAGCGGTTAGTCCGGCGACGGCGCTTGTACGGCTTCGATACCACTTGTTGGTCCCTCGGCTGCCCTGCACAGGTAAGCAGTAAGCTTACCAGCACACTCACTCACTATGGCTAGAGGTAGAATAAGATATTGAGAACAGCTTACACACACAGCACAAGCCCAGCGCTGGCCGAAAGCTCTGCTTCTGGATGTGGCAACTGAACTGCTCTTTTGCATTGCCTTAGGTGTGATATATATACAAGTGCTAGTACCTCTACCAGGTACATAGTTGTTGGTGAGTACACCAACTACCTACTCCTAAGGTACACCAACTGTTCCTAGTACTAGCAGTACAAAGCTTAGATTAGCCCACTACCAAGACATGACTGATGTAATAGCTACCAACTAATGTACTAGAGGTGGCCTATTGCCATACTGCTACAACAGTAGAGACTGGACAGCCGAGCTGACCAAATGCCAACTCTGCTGCAGCAAGAGAGAGAGAGAGATCAGCAGCAGATTATGTCTTACAGGATCTAGCACACCTGGTTTTATTATAACAAATTTATAAACTGCTTCTAGGTTTCCAACAAAGGAAGAAACTGACAATGATGGAGATACCAAGCATCTTCATTCCTGAAGATTGGTCCTTCACTTTCTACGAGGGCCTCAACCGTCATCCAGACTCCATTTTCAGGGATAAGACAGTAGCAGAGCTGGGATGTGGCAACGGTTGGATATCCATAGCTCTTGCAGAAAAGTGGTGCCCTTCAAAGGTTGACCTTTCTTTTCCTGTGCACATTTTTTTTGTACCCTTAATTCCTCATTGGTAGCTTAAGCTGATCTGGGAACACTTTTACACTTGGGCATTTGTTCATGTTACAAGATGGATTATGAGCTTCTGGCTTGTCTAGTGCACCTGAGGAAACAACATCCACTGACTCAAAGTTTTATTTGCATTCAGCTTGACATGACCCTGTCATTTTAATCATTTGTCTGGGCTATTTTTTGTTGGAATCCAAACTAACTATTTTTTAACAAAAAATCTTTGAAGGTCTATGGTCTGGATATAAACCCAAGAGCTGTGAAGATTGCATGGATAAACCTGTACTTGAACGCATTAGATGACGATGGTCTCCCAATATATGATGGGGGGGGAAAACATTGCTTGATAGAGTTGAATTCTATGAATCGGATCTCCTTTCTTACTGTAGAGACAACAAGATAGAGCTTGATCGCATTGTTGGATGCATACCACAGGTACAGTCAAGAGTCAATTGTTCCCATGTTTGGTGAGATAAAAAAAAGAGGGAAATTACTTCCACTATATCTTTATTTCAGATTCTCAACCCAAATCCAGAGGCGATGTCAAAGATTGTAACAGAAAATTCAAGTGAGGAGTTCTTGTACTCCTTGAGTAACTACTGTGCTCTTCAGGTTAGTTGGAGGATGTCTTTCATATATTCGTCTCTCGATCAAAACAAACAGAGTCAGATGCATGAAACCTAAGACATGCTATTTAATTATAATGGTTTGTCTTCAAGTTATATGTTGATCTGGAGTTTTGGATCAGAGTAAATCTATTTATGCACTATTTACTTTGTAGCTACATTTTTGGCTGTGTGCATTTAAACAATAGACATCTAAACACCATGTTAAGTGTATGGCATGTTGTTTCTCGAAATGGTGTATCTGAAATTTATTGATAAAGTGCTAGCAACTGCAGCAATGCTATTTATTTGTGTTGCGGTTCTAAGATCCATGCAAGTTGAATATCTTGTAACAATTTTGGATGTATTGAATCCTCTATCAGAGTTGAAGTTAAGTAGTTAACAGTGTTTTCTAAAAATGTTGCATGTAGGTTTCCCCAAGTCAATATTTACTTCTATTATTCTAATTTCCTTGTTTGCTGACATTGATATCTTTCTGCATCCAGGGTTTAAATCGAGGACCAATTTGGCCTTGGGTTGATTGTAACGAGCGGTGGAAGAAGGATATCTGTCATAAAGCCTTCAGGTATTATGGTATTCAACATGGGAGGTCGACCAGGACAGGGTGTCTGTGAACGTCTATTTCGACGGCGTGGATTTCGCATCACTAAGCTCTGGCAAACCAAAATTATGCAGGTAGTAAGGCTGTGGCACACTAGAATATTTTCCGTGTCTGTAGTATGTTCTGGTTTCGGTCTTCTAGGGCCTATAGTTTCATCTATTTCTTGATGCTTTATTTTGTTCAGCATCGTTACTAATTAATTGGTTTGCTTGCAGGCTGCTGACACAGATATTTCAGCTTTGGTTGAAATTGAGAAAAATAGCAGACATCGCTTCGAGTTCTTCATGGATCTTGTTGGGGATCAGCCTATCTGTGCTCGCACAGCCTGGGCATACTTGAAATCTGGTGGCCGCATTTCACATGCTTTGTCTGTGTATAGCTGTCAACTTCGCCAGCCCAACCAGGTTACTTTGTGTTCCCTAATGATTTCTAATAAGAGTAATAATGTGGCAGTTTGAGTAGTACTCTGATTATTGAACTTTCAGGTGAAGAAAATATTTGAGTTTGTTAAAGATGGATTCCATGAAGTCAGCAGTTCCTTGATTTATCCTTTGACGACGATTCTGTAGCTGACGAAAAAATCCCTTCCTAGCATACCTTGCTAGTTTTCTGAAAGAGAATAAGTCAAATCCTGTGAGCCACCAGCTGGATGTCTAAACTTTAGGAAACTTGTTGCTGGATTTATGAAGAGCTACCATCACATTCCTCTAACTCCTAATGTAAGATTTGTCTAAATTTGTCTTAAAATCTACCAGTTCTATGTTTCTTGCCTATGATTCACATAATATTCATTTTTCTCCTGTCACTAGAATGTCGTTGTGTTTCCTTCTCGCGCTGTGGCAATAGAGAATGCTCTTCAATTGTTCTCACCGGCGCTTGCAATTGTTGATGAACATTTGACCAGACACTTGCCCAAGCAATGGTTAACATCCTTAGCAATCGAGGTACCTTGCTTACTCTGTGAATGGTCATGGGTCTGGATGTTCTGCAATACACACAAATTTTTATGAAATTTCAGGGAAGAGCAGATTATAATCACGCTGATGGTACTGTCACTGTAATTGAGGCACCACGCCAATCAGATTTGCTGATTGAGTTGATCAGGAAGCTGAAGCCTCAGGTGGTTGTTACTGGCATGGCTCAATTTGAGGCTATCACCAGTGCTGCTTTTGAGAACTTACTAAACGTAACAAAAGATGTTGGCTCCCGGTTGTTCCTGGATATTTCTGAGCATTTGGAGTTGTCTAGTCTGCCAAGCTCTAGTGGCGTATTGAAATATCTTGCTGGAAAGACATTACCATCGCATGCAGCTATACTGTGTGGTTTAGTAAAGAATCAGGTGCCTAAAACTTTAACACACCAATTGATTTCCATTGGTGCACTCTACTGGCATGCTGTTATCTGTTCCATTTGTGATCGCTTTATCTGATTTTATGGATTAAACTTGTAGGTGTATTCTGATCTGGAAGTTGCTTTTGCCATTTCGAAGATGCAGCTGTATATAAAGCATTATCACAAACTATTGAGCTATTTGAAGGCCACACATCTCTGATCAGCCAGCACTATTACGGCTGCCTTTTCCATGAGCTTCTGGCATTTCAAATTGCTGACCGGCATCCACAGCAAGAGGTAAAGGGTTTACCTCATCCATAAACCATGCTTCCATTAACTTTCATGCTCAACAGTTTCCCTTTGTAATGATTAATGAACCTTCCCCTTAGCATAAGTAATGTAGTCCTTATCTTCACCTAGTTGGATAGTAGCTACTCAAAATGAACAGCTAAATGTGTAGTAGGATGACTTATTTTGTTTTTCAGACCTTAATAATGGTATCCTTTTATTTGTTGCCTTGTTTATCCTTGCTCTTTTTTCAGAGACAACCTGCAGAAGTGATACCTCAGCAGATGATAGGATTTTCTGATCCAGCTATGTCTACACTAAAGGCTGCTGAATTTTTCGTTCCTGATTCAACTGAATCCAGCATTATTCATATGGATTTAGATCGGAGCTTTCTGCCAGTACCTTCTGCAGTGAATGCCTCTGTTTTTGAAAGTTTTGTCAGGCAGAACATCACTGATTCTGAAACTGATGTCCATTCCAGCATCCAACAGCTGGTGAAAGATAGCTATGGTTTATCCGCAGATGGTTGCTCAGAAATTATCTATGGCAACACCTCCCTAGCACTCTTCAACAAGCTTGTTCTTTGTTGCATGCAAGAACAGGGCACCTTGCTTTTCCCCTTGGGCACCAATGGCCATTACGTATCTGCAGCAAAGTTTGTGAACGCAAGCACCTTGACTATACCGACGAATTTGGTGCGGATTCAGGATTGAACCAAAGGTTCTAGCTGACACTCTTAAGAATGTATCTCGGCCATGGGTGTATATTTCTGGCCCCACGATCAACCCTACTGGTTTTCTGTACAGTGACAATGATATTCAAGAGCTGCTCTCAGTATGCGCTGAATATGGAGCTAGGGTAGTGATAGATACCTCCTTCTCTGGCCTGGAGTACCGAACTGATGGCTGGAGTCAGTGGAATCTGGAAGGATGCCTTTCCTCTTTGAAACGTTCAAAGCCATCATTCTCTGTGGTGCTGCTTGGAGAGCTGTCCTTTGAGCTGACTGCAGCAGGGCATGACTTTGGGTTTGTGATATTGAGCGACTCATCACTGGCTGAGACGTTTCATAGTTTCCCCAGCTTGAGTCGGCCGCACATCACATTGAAGTACACTTTCAAAAAGCTACTGGGCCTTAAGAACCAGAAGGATGAGCATTTCTCCAATCTAATGGTGGAGCAGAAGGAGGAACTGAAGAATCGCGCCAACCACTTGATAAAGGTTAGCCCATCATACACTCTGAAACTCTTGTCTGATTCCATCTATCCTTTACACACTAGTGCCCTGTTGAAGTAAGATCAACAGAATGTAGCTGATTATACCCATTTCACTACATTTAAATATCTGACTGTGACTTGATAAACACATCTAGCTATGAACTGAATGTTATATTGGTCACTCAACCTCATTTTGTCATTGTACAATGAACAGACTCTGGAGAGCTGTGGCTGGGATGTTGCCATTGGTTGCGGTGGCATCTCAATGCTGGCGAAGCCCACTGCCTACATCGGGAAGCCCTTCAAAGCTGATGGTTTCGAGGGCAAGCTGGATGCGAGCAACATCAGGGAAGCCATCCTCAAGGCCACTGGGCTCTGCATAAACAGCAGCTCCTGGACGGGGATCCCCGACTACTGCCGTTTCAGCTTTGCTCTGGAGAGCGGCGAATTCGAGCGTGCAATGGGATGCATAGCTCGGTTCAAGGAGTTGGTTCTGGGAGGGAGTGGCCAGGCTCAGATGAATGGTGTGTGATGGAGCAGGCTGACACGCTTCTGGGAGGCAATCCATCTTTGTTTGGAAACCTTATACGCACCTTAGTGCTTTGTAGTAGTGGTGATGGAGATATCAAACGTGTAAAGAATAACAGCAGCAGCAACAAATGCCTGCTGTGAATTGAATGTACGAGGATGGATAGGGCGCTTTGCTGTGCCCGTGCCCATTCTGTCTTCGAATTGCTGTGCTGTGCACTTAGAATAAACAAGCAGTTGTTCGGACAGCCATGCAGCTGCAGAAAATCACTGTTGCTGTATAGGTCATTTCTAGTTTTCTACTAACACATATACTACCCCACCCCATCTCTCTTCCTCTTGTGTCTTGTCCCAAGCACCCATAATAAACAAATTCTGGAAAGTTATTTCACGCCTTTGATAAAAAATTTTCATTAAAATACACGAATTCGGTAATATAAATTTAGGCCATTGGATTCCCCTGAGACAAGTAGTTATGACTGATGTTGTATCATGTAAACGACACAAATAGAGTATAGCTGTATAGGTCAAAATCATTAATTTCAAACGGAGGGAGAAGAAGCTGGTGAGAATTGGTTTCCAATCATCTATAGTATATTAATTATTTTTTTAAAAGCTAGCATTAATCAATTATTTTTTTTACAAAGTACACATCTAGAGGGAGAATTGATTAAGCAAAGCAAGAGAAAATAGCAAAAAGAAAAAAACATCAGCAAAAAGAAAAAAACATCTACTAGTACATCAAAGAAAACTGGTGGGCCTAAAATAGCGGCCCAGAGCCCAGTAAAGAAGACATCCCCTCCCATCCTCGTGCAACCCCGCCCCGCCTCCGTCGCCGCCGACATGAGCGGGTGCGCCACCGCAACTGCCGCTCCGGTGCCCGCAGCCCGCTTGCTTCGCACTTCGTCTCAGGCCGTGCTGTGCAGTATCCAGCAGGGTATTTGTGCTTTATTTCGTATTGTGAATTTTTAGGTCTTCATCACTGTTCCATGTTTTGTTAACGCCCAGTACCAATGCTCAAGAATTCTAGGTCAGCCATTGCTTGCTGGTACGCCCCAGCCCCACCTCATCCTGTCCTCCTGTGATTCCATGGTGATTTGGAGTTGCTCTTCTTGTCTCCGTGGATTCATTCCCAGAGCGGCATGGAGGGGCACTACCCACTCTTGTCTCCCAGGCCTACTGCATCGCCGCCTATCCACCACTTCTCCTCCTCCTCCGCTCGACGGTCCACCAAGAAATCTGCCGCAAAGGCGCCAATGCACTCCTCCATTCTTGCCGCAAAGGCGCCAATGGACTCTTCCAGAGAGCCCTTCTATGTCATCCGCAAAGGGGATGTCATTGGCATCTACAAGACCCTCAGTGATTGCCAAGCCCAAGTCAGCAATTCGGTGAGGACGATAGACAGGCACATCATGACTTTTCCTTCCCTTACCACGTGCAGCGATTGCTATTGCTTCATTTTTGCTTATGATATGAAATGTATCGTGCTTCGGACCTAGGTATGTGACCCTCCAGTCACTGTCTACAAAGGCTATTCTCTGCGTAAAGAAACTGAGGAATATCTTGCTGCGCGTGGGTTAAGGAACGCTGTCTATTCCATTGATGCAGCAGATGCAAGGGACGAATTGTTTGGCGATCTGGTTCCCTGCCCTTTCCAGGTAAACAATGCAGTGCTCTATGTCTCCATCACTTGGCAATGTTTTACACTACAGATTAATCCGACTTCTAGACATGGTATCCATTCATATAGTAATAATATATAAACCAACACATTATTATCACGAAAATAGTTGTCTATACATTATATAGTATTATCTATGCAACTGCCTCTGATTCTCAGGGCCTTACTTTGTCTCAGACAACTTGAGTGTCAAGCTGATCTTTGAAAGTCATATCTTCAGGTGGTTGTGTTGCACTGTTGCTACTTGATTTTGTTTTCTTTTTCCATGAATTTATTGTACAGTACTGATTTATGCAAGTTTCATTTCAGCAACCTGATGAAACCAAACAATCTACTTTGAAAATGTCACAGGAGATGGTAAGATATATATTTTTTTCTTCATGATAAGTGTGAATGTATGGTCTCTTCAAAACTGCTCCCTATAGTACTTATGAATTTGTTATTATCTTGTTTACTTACACTGACTATCATTTTCTGAAGGAAACCAGACCGTCACAGCATTCCAAAGCTGCTGATCTGGAAACATTACCTGATAGTGAAGTGAGTATATGAATGAAGGCTTCTTTCCTGATTTGTTCTGTACTTATGTAGTTATGGGTTGATGTCTGCATGTATATTTGTGATGTACCTTCACTGTCTTGGGGATCTTGAGTTCTTCCCACCAGTGCACTCTATCTTTTACAGCTCTCTTGTATTCTTGAATTTGACGGAGCTTGTAAAGGAAATCCTGGGAAATCAGGTGCTGGAGTCATAATTCGGCGGTTAGATGGATCTGTGGTATGTACACCAGTCTTAGCTCAGCTGTTTTTTTTCTTCTTTTCTTCAATTATCATTCCTAGCTATTTATTGTGTTCCCCCCTTCTACTGAAGATTGCTCTACTACGTGAGGGTTTGGGTGTTATGACCAACAACGCTGCTGAATATCGTGCATTGATCCTGGGGCTAAATTATGCTTCCAAGAAGGGATTCAAGTATATTCGTTGTCAAGGTGATTCTAAGCTTGTCTGTAACCAGGTGAGTTGCTATTTCTCGGCTTTTGTAACGAGTGCTGCAGTTCATTCTAAGTCTTCAAATTCCACTAAAACACTAAGTGTGTGGAGGGCTGGCAATTTTAAATGGTTTTCCTCATGGACTTTGATCTGAAAGTCATATTCTGCAGTTTTTCTTCACCAAAGGAATCTTTTTTATTCCAATCACTTAAAATACATGGCCCAAAGTATACGTCACAATGATAGAATCAGGTCTCATTTGTATTAACGGGCCTTCATTTCTACAGCATATGAAGTCTGGTGAGCCTAGATGCTAGAGCACTTGGAATAGCTTGTCTTAGCTGCGAGCAGCTCTAGCAACATTCAACTATTTGCAAGCAGCTCTAGCAACATTCAACTATTTCATAACAAGAGTAACAGTTATGATTTCTGGAGCAGGTTCGAGGTGACTGGCGTGCTAGGAGTGATAATATGGCTGTCTTGTGCGATATAGCCAAGGAACTAAAGGAAACATTTCTTACATTTCAAATCAACCATGTTTTGAGGGTAGGTCTCACATTCCCATTGTCATTTGGCCTCGTTCACATTTACTGCTAGATTTGTGGTACAACACGTGTTAGCTAGACATTAGCATAGCTTTAGTTCAGAATGGATGGAGTGGCAAATGATGTTCAAGGCTGTTGCTTCCAGTTATCCCAATGTCAGGTGCTAGTTAACATATTTATTCCAGAATTTCATCAATCTTTATGACCTGAAAACATCTAGGTTGACAGCTCTATAGATTTGAAAGAGTTTCCTAGTTTGATTTAGCAGTCAAGATAAGGTGGTGATTTTCAGCAGCCCTCTAAATACCTCTCGAGTAGGAACTCTAAATTTGATCTGTTAGCATGGCAGGCACACACATATATAAACTCTACTAGATTTCAATCGCACTTGGAGTTTTCTCCAATGGCAACTAATCCTTGAAAACATTGTTACTAAAATTTGTTTGTTACACAGGAATTCAACTCGGATGCTGACGTTCAAGCTAACTTTGGAACCCAACTTGCTGGTATGAGGCTGCTGTGATTACCTGACCTTTGAATTGCTAGCTACAAAACAGATACCTGATTTGATCTCTTCCTTTGTACAGTTGATGAAGTTCAAGAGCTGTCCGTTTGTTGAGTTGTCATTGGCAGAGAAAACAAGACTTGGGACTTGAGAGTATAGACTATTAATACTAATTGACCCAGGTGATTATATCACAGTGTGCAGTTGATATTAGATATTCACATCTGTGTAGTTACACATTCGGCAGAACATATGTGTAGTGCCAATCTACTGTATTTTGGAAAGGGCTGAAGTTAAAGTGTTGCTGGTGAAATTTTCTTCTCTTGTGCCCTGCCCTGCCTTGCCCTCTGTTTTTTTACATATCGTATTAGGTTTGTCCTAAGTCCAAGATTTCTTTAACTTTAGCCACATTTTAAAAATATTTGACTCAGGATAAAACTAATACGATATATAAAACAACGGTGAGAGTATGCCTATGACCACTGTTGTAGCAACTGACAGTTGACTGAGCATTTTGGTAGCCGACGTGGATGTCAACTGCCACATTTTTGCCACAAGCAGATATGACCAAGTACCGTACCTGCAATATTTTGCTCTTCAGCAAAGACAGGTCCTAAGGGTTTGAATGTCTGACCACGTTTGGCGTACATAGTTTGGTTTTGTTTTGTGTTGTCATGAGGACCTTGATTCTTTGTATATGAAATTATGAACTGAATTGAAGTATCACAAGTGCATGGTTACGGAAAAACTATTCAATAATGGGTGCCGTATCCTTAAACCCGCGACGTACGTCCACAATCATCGTCCAAAAGGAATCTAATTCTAGATTTGAACTAAAATTTAACTAAATTAGTAATAGAAAAAAATAATGTCAATGTTTATGCCTCTAAATAGGTTTACTATTTTTTTATTTAACAAACAGATTTACTTTGAAAAATTTATTCTACAATTAATCTAATAAAACTTATTTGGTATTATAAATATTATTATTTTTATATATTAGAGTTAAATTTAAAATTGTTCGACTCCTTAAGGTAAGTTTTTCTTTCTTTTGAACAAATAAGTACTTAAAGAAGTTAGAGCATCTCCAGCAGTTACTCAATACCTCCTCCTATCTCTATAAAACTGTCATATTAGGGACAACTATATTTTTTTCTTGCTCCAGCAGTTCCCCAACACCTCTCCTTTTTTTTATGGCCACTAATATTTTCCTCATCTCCCCTCAGAGAAAGGGGGAGATACAACTCTCCAAATACCCTGGGAAACATCCCAACTACACTTTTCAGCCATATTTTTTCTTACACTTCTGTGAGACCCACCTTCCATATGAATATTGGGAAAGATATATTATAGTACTGTCACAGCAACTCTCCCAATATTAACAAAAGATGATATTGAGCTACCAATATATATATATATATATATATATATATATATATATATATATATATAAAATCGGGGAACTACCACTCTAGCGGTACGTGGATTTTGAACTCAACAACCAACACCACATCTTTCCTTGTTTGATTGAAGACGTACTCCTACTTGCGTTTGGCGTCACTCCCCTTGTCTTTCCCTGCTGCTGCTGTCTGTTGCCTGTGTCCGGCGGGGAGGGGAAGCCAAAGCCATGGCGGCGGCCGGGGACGGCGTGGCTCGGCAGGCGGAGCTCCGCCGGATCGAGGGCAACGTCTGCTTCAAGAAGGCCCGCCTCGGCGCCGCCATCGACTGCTACACCGAGGCAAGAAACCTCCCAGTGCCCTCCTCCCTGACTTCCCCCAAATTCCCCCGTGCCCTCCATCCACTCCCGCGAGCTGGCTGTGGCTTGAGCTCGGAGATTCCTTCCAATTTTAGAATGCGCTCCACCACGATGTGATTCACGCGTCCTCCTATCCTTTGATCCCCTGCAATGACCGCGTCTTCTTCTCTTTGGTTCCGTGCCGTGTGTTACACGAACCAAAGATTTTTCTTCTTCTCCTTGGTTGGTTGTTTCTTGACTGCCTAATCTGTGTTTCCTCGCCAGGCAATTGCGCTCTGCCCCGACGTGGCCGTCTACTGGATGAATCGGGCCTGTGCCATTTCAAGCTCAAGTGAGTGAGTTTACTGTTTGCTAGTAATTGCTACCTCCTCTCCCACCCTTTTTGGCAAGAAAGAAACGAATATCTGAAATCTCGTGCACAGGGAGTGGGCCAAGGTCGAAGAGGACAGCAGGAAGGCTCTCGCGCTTGATCACACTTTAGTCAAGGTCACATTCTTATTTCTTCTTTCCTCTCAAAACTAATGCGCCAACTTCAACTAACCACTATATTATGTAATCACTATCCTTAACTAACCGTTCGATTGATAAATAAAGACAAAAAGTCACCAGTGAGGCCACGTGATTGCTCTGTTCCTTGTGTGATGTAGGGGCACTATCTGCTGGGGTGTGCACTGCTCGAGAAGGAAGAGTCTGCTCTTGCTATCAAGGAATTCGAAAAGGTTCCTCATTTGTCCCTTGTACGTATGATGTGAATTCTCAAGGAGTTTCCTTGTGTAGGAATAGTTTGATTCACCGCATATGGAGGCATTTTTGCCTGTCTTGCCATGATTACATCTTGCCCCTGAAACACCAACTAGATGCACTAACTTCCATATTTAATTTAAGATGCACTAACTTCCATTTATGATAAATAAAACATCCAAATATGTACTACCATAGCAGATGTGAAATGGCGCTGACCTCTGAGGAACAATTACCATAAGAGTTAACTTGAAAGTTTCTAGACTTGTACAAACATGTGGTTGTTTCATGCATCTAAGTTGTACTTACCTTGTTAGTTGTTAATCTAAAGTTGTTTTCTTCACCTTGTAATGCAATTCCGACATATCTATACCTGTTTCCATTTACTCAAACCTTTCAATAGCAGTGGTCGATAGTACTCAACTATAATTAATAATCGCATAATATTATCTTGATATTCTGTTTCCTCTGTTCTGTGGTGGATATATTGTTCCTTGTCGGTACTTTACTTTTGAGAAGTAGAAGCACAGTGATGTAATAAATGTGTAAAAATTAGTATATTCCTGGGCGCCTCTCCCTGCGAACTGTGAAGTGCCACTGAGTCAAGAGTTGTAATAACAACCTATATACTACTAGTAACTGGTGACATGCTAAGGCTATGGGGATGCTTGGTTCCTTTGCTAAGGGTGGCTAACTGGGTCACTACACACTACAACTATGTATTGACATCCTTGTTTTGACTCCGGCTACTGATGTCTTGTCCTGTCACATTATTTCTAAGCTCTTGCTCGTCTTATCATGGGAAACAGGCTCTGATTCTCTTGAGGTCCGCGAATTCAACGGATGAAATGGCCGAGGAAATTTGGCAGGTCCTTGCAAAGGCAAAATACTTAGATTGGGAGAAGCATTCCACTGAACGACTATGGAGGATGCAAAGTCTGAAGTATGTTAGATATTAAACCTAAAACAACATAGCACTATCATTTTGCTTTAGATCAAGCACTTCTTGTCTTGATATGGCTGATCAGTTGAAGTTTCCGGTTGTTAAAGTCTCTTAACAGAAGCGTATCCCGTGGACATGCAGGGAAGCTTGTGAAAGTGCTCTGCAGGAGCATCACTTTCTTACTGGTACACTTGAGGAAGACTCCAATGGGTCAAGCAATGAGTATTCAGAGCAATTCAAACTGCTATCGGAGGTCTTCAATAGCGACAATTGCCGATACACCAGCGGATGTATGAGCAATGCTCAGAATAAACTTTTGTTTTTGTTAACCCTTTGGTTTCTATACCTGTGATCTGAAACTGCTGCTGCCATGCTGAATCCCTAGGTGCCCGATTACCTTTGCTGTCAGATAACTTTCGAGATTTTTCGAGATCCAGTGATCACACCCAGTGGTGTAACATATGAGAGGGCTACACTTGTTGAACATCTCCACAAGGTGTGCCCTTTCGCTAACTTGTGAACTTGTTTACTTTTTGTATGTACACAATGACAGATGTGGTTACCATTAGCCTAACCTAACCTAACCATTGCCTTGCTGTTTCAGGTTGGCAATTTCGACCCGGTGACACGAGAGCCTTTGAAATAGCATCAGCTGGTTCCGAATCTAGCCATCAAGGAAGCAGTGCAGGCCTACCTGAAGGAGCACAGCTGGGCTTACAAGCTGAACTGATGGATGTCGAGTGCTTTGCTAACTGGAGATGCTGATGAATGGGGGTTGCCTTTATTAGAGTTTGATTTTCTGATGCGTTGGGATCATGAGATTGATTGGATAGCTCGATTCATCATTCTTAGTATTGATTGGGCAACTTGACTTGTAACTGCAAACACTGTTTGGATGGATGTAACGGAGTAAGTGTACATAAAACATTGGAGGTTAGAATGGAGATTTGCATAAGTTGTTGACTTACCAACTGTTTGGTTGGTTCAGTTCACTACGTGTGTGATTGCTATATATATGGTGCAAAAATCATGTCGCAAAATCAGGGCTCTCGCCCTCGTCTAATAAAACTCCGGCAAATCCCTTGCCGCTTTTCTAAAAAAAATCAGGGCTCTCGCTCTCACTCATCCTGGGTCTTCTTAAGCACAAAGATTTGTATCGATATTGTTGTTCCACCACAATGGATGATAAAATAATAACTTGGATCCACAGTCTTGATGGCCAGTGGATCAACTTGAGTCTTGAGCTGGTACAAGTACAGATGGTACAAATCTGACTGAAGCTGCATGACACACATACTTGCACTTTCTGCACATTTGATCCCTGTCATACTCAATCATCTTGACACCACCAGACCTGATCACAGTTCCCTTCATAGTGATCAATTTCATCATGTGCGTGCGAGAAGTATGAGCAACAAGTAGTGATTTCACAAAAAAAAAAAAGAATCATTCATCATTTGACCAAAAGAAGATGATCGAAGAAGAAGTAGGCACTGTCATCAAAAGAAATAAACTAAACAGGCAGGTACGGAATGAACTCTTTTTTAAGGATGAACGCATCACAGATAGATTTCTGATTTTAAAATGCTAGCTTGTTGTCCAATTAAACAACTGACTGAAACATCAAATTGAGAACTGGATCGCGGTTGCTGTTGCGTTGCATTCGCATGTACCCGTTCCCCCCAACCTTCTCCAATATTACAATCTAGCAATCCACCTCTGGATGACCGAAGAACCAAAAGAGATGCTGGTATAATATTGGGTCTGCCCCTCCTGATGGATCAAAAAAAGGTTGTATTAAAGTTTCGATCGCAAATTGAAGAAATGAAATGAAATTTTTATGTACCGACTCCTAAACGAATTATTTGGGATTGTGAAGTGAAAGAAATCATTTTATCTCCTAATAGTGGCCAAATTGGTGTATTACCGAACCACGCCCCCATTAACACAGAGTCGTCGAAAGTGGTACCGGTGGTGCTGTAACCAATCGTGGTTCAGCAAGTGTCCACAGGGCCTTCGGTACACGCCGCCGGGGTATCGCTTGCCGAAGGAATCATCGGAGGCGTCGATGGTAACCACCATAGGCACAGTTCGACGTCCAAGCAGTGGCGGAACCGGCAAAATGATAAAGGGGGCCAGCCAAGCCAATAAATATGGGTAACATGACCATATTTTGATGTACATATATAATATTTATACTCATATGAATATTTTTTTTTTTTGCTATGACAACACACAAAAGTGACTTTCGGAAGAGAGGATAAGAGATTTTTTTTTTCATTTGAGTCTCGTTTTTTTATTTCGAAGCCTTGTCTTGAAAAGCTTAATGATCGTTCTGTTGTTGCAAGCTAGAAAAAATAGGAATATAAAGAATTAAAAAGTTAGGAATTAAAAAAGTAGGACAAGTCGAATTAACCTGTAGAAATATAAAGAATAGTAAATTAGAATACAAACAAATTTGCAATTAAAAAAGTTAGGAATAGTATCAATTAAACAAACAAGTACTTTTGGAAATAGAAATTACGTATGCTTTGCTTAAAGTCTGTAGGGCAATTAAACAAACAAGTACTTTTGGAAATAGAAACTACGTATACAAACAAGTACAATTAGCAATTGCTTTGCTTGTGCGTCTAGCTAGCGTCCCGGATGTGGCTACTGTTTAGCTTGTAGGAGTAGACTTCTGCTCGGCTGCTGTTTAGCTGTAGGAGTAGACCTCTGCTCGGCTGCTGCATCTGCACTGCTCGGCTGCTCTTGCGCCTGCATAGTGCAGACCCTCTGCTCACCTGCTGGCCCCCTGGTTCCGCCTCTGCGTCCAAGAAGGCCGCGATCCAGTTGAACCCGACCGACCACGATGGGGGATTTGGCGGCGGTCTAGCATGTGTCCTGACTTCCTCTGTACAGCGGGAGGCGGCTTCGAACGCCATATCACCATTGTTGATTATGTAGTCAAAGCCCTTAAACACGAAGCCGCCTCTACAGCCACCGTTCCTTGTGTCAGAGTCCACCAGCTGGTGCACCAACAGGTCCACCGGGCCGTTGTTCCTCTTGATGGCATTCAAGCTCTCCAGCGCGCCGGCTGCTGCCATGGCCCAGCAGCACTCGCAAACAGTACCCTGGTCCTTGACCATGGTCACGCACGGCACGGTGGCCGTTGCAGTCTGCTATGCGCCAATCGATGGTATCCGGTAGTCCCTCCTTTTCTTCCGATGGCGTGACGTTGATTAACTTCCCGTCGACGTTGACGTGGCGCTCCCCGCCATCCACGACAGACCTCTGACAGGTGTAGGCCGTATGAACCACGTCGGTCGTCCTGTATGCGAAGACACTGAGGCCCAGCGTGTAGTGCCTGTCGCCTGTCTCCTTGAAGATGTGCCGGAGCTTCTCGCCGGCTCGCGCACCACCTTTTAGCGCGCGCCCCAGCTTTCGTACAAAGCCACATGACTCCATATCCTCCGCTGTGAACAACTCGACGCCGGTGGCCAGCGGCGGCGCCAGCACCACCACCACGGCTAGCACAAATGTCGTCCTTCTCACCATGCTGCAGGGTGCAAGCCACTCTCCACTCTCTGCTCTGGATGATTAGACCTCTTTGATCTGCTTTGCTCTAGTGTTGTGTTCCCCACCTCACAGACCCTCTCGATCCTACTTATACTGGAGTGAGTAAGGAGTACTGGATGATGACAGCAACATGATTTGTTAGTTGTGCCTTGTGCCTTGTGCTAGCTGTCAGCTGTAGCTGAGGTCGACTATATGTGTGTTAGTAAATGTTTTGAATAGCAGGCTATGATATTTAGTGGCGATCTTCTCCAAAAGCTATTAAAAGCTATAGTAGGCTATAGTAAAAGCTATTCATTTTACGATTTTATAGAAAACATGAAAATTCTTAATAAGTTATGCACATAAATATTTAACTAAACAAAAAAAAATTATGAACACAAATACTCAAATGCATGTAGAATATCTACAAGAATATGAACAAGAAAGAAAAAGGGGAGGGAGGAGATAGCTCGGCGGTGGAGAGGGGACGGACTAGTGTTGAACAAGTGAAAATGAGTAGGAGGTGAGTCCCACTTATGCCCTTAGACATTTATATAGGCAATGGCTATTTACAAGTGACCCCTTGTTGGGTTTAGATTTCATATGACTCTACTCTCTAGCTACTTTTTTTGAGGAAACTAATTGGGCCTCTTCTACGGGGATACTTGGCCCATATACCCCATGGGCTCCCCCAACGTCGCTCCTGGCAAACACTTCAGCAGAAGGGGGCTTCGCGAACACTTCAGTGACTACAATGACTCACCCACACCAACACTTCCACGCAATGGGCCTCACCATCATCTTCGGTGACTATAACAACTAACCTTCGATGCCAACAACTAGAGGGCTTCTCTGACGTCAACATTGAAAAAATATCTTCACCAATATCTTTGGTGATTACATCGCCAAAACTTTGACACGAGGGGCTTCGCGGACATCTTCAGTATCCACACCTACATTGCTTTCATCAACACCTCTAGCACGAGGGCCTTCGCCAACATCTTCGGCGTCCACAACGACTCGCCTCTGCCAATACTTCAGCATGAGGGGCTGCCAACATCTTCGGCAACTACGATGACTCGTCTTCACCAACGCATCTGCAGAAAGGGGCTTCACTATCATCTTTGGCCACTACAATGACTCAAGAACCTTTGTCGATACCTTTGACATCAACGTTTATGACAACTTGCCCTCATCGCCTAGTTTGAGGGGCTAAATCAACTCGTTCGGCACTAAGGTCTACTTCACCTTCCTCGATCACTTCGGTTCGAGGGGCGCACTAACAACTTTGGTCTAGACATCTACTTCTGCTACTATGCATGGCTATTATGACTATGTAAACTACAACAAGCACAACTGAATATTCGGTCATGTAAGGATCCTTGCTAAGCCTAGAGGGGGGGTGAATAGGCGTGTCGAAAACTTAACACAAACTAAAACATCGGATCGGTACACTATCGAAAGTTACGACATGCACGACACCGAAAGTTCGGCGGTTGTCGGAACTTCGACAATTGGAACTTCGGAGCGTTGGAACTTCTAGCGACCGAGAAGTTCCAATGCCTGTTGGAAGATTCAGCATAACTTCTTTGGAACTTCCGACACCTATAAAGACTACGAAATAAGAGTCAAATCTACTTCAAATTTAGATCTGTGAATCACCCACTTCCTAAGATGTAGATGAAGGTGATGTGGTACTCCCTTGCACCTCCAATTTGTAGATCGGGACCAATACCTAAGAAATAGCTTGAGGGAGAGAGAACGAAGAATAAGTGTAATCTCAAATAATCACAAAAACAATAAGCACTTGCAGGAGACAAGGATTTATCTTGAGGTTCATTTCGCCACTAAGGCTTGCCTATGTCCTCGTTGTCAAGGTGACCACTAAGGTGAGTCTCTTTCACCTCCTTGCCTCTCTCAAGCAACCACAAAGGTAAACTTGAGTTCTTCATTAAAAAGTCGAGGGTGATACAAACTTTCCATGGTTCTCCTACAGATCGGGAGCTCTTGGGCGACGCCTAGCCGGCTAGGGGCAAAGCCCCAAGAGTAATGAATGCAATCCCAACCGGCTTGCGAAGAAATCGAAAGTGCTCAAACTTGCTTCGATGTTTCTCTCACCAAAATCACTTCTCTCAACTCAAACTCTTGCAAGATTTGGAGCTAGGAGCAAAGAGATCGAGAGGAGAGAGCCTTGATAGCTAGAGAGATGTTTTTCTGAAGTTTAGGGC